TAGAGCTGTAAGGGGTTCACCTCCATATTTTGAAAAAGCTAAAAAGGATATATTTGCAATGATCAGGCAGTTAGGATCTGCTTCATTATTTTGTAGTTTTTCTTCAGCGGAAACACAATGGTCTCATTTAATGAGAATACTTGGTAAACTTATTGATAATAAAACATACACAGACGCTGAACTTCAGAACCTCAATTGGGAAGAGAAAAGTAGGTTAATTCAAAGCGATCCTGTGACATGTGCCAGGCATTTTGAAGAAGATCAATACCTCATATACATTATGTTGGTTTGAGCAGGGTAATAGCAATTAAAGGTTTATTTATCACTGACCTATGTGAAGATAAAATAGCTGTCAATCCTCGTGTAGCAGCTGAAATGGAACGTTTGAGAAATGAACGTGTACTAAAACTAAGTTTCACTTCTATTTATAAGATACTTTTCTGAACGTATAGTTAAGGACTATATAGTGACTAAAAAGATCAAAGGCCGGAACTCACCTCCGTGGATAGATGGTGACATTATCCACGCAATACGGAAAGCTGAGGTCATCTCCAACTGACGCGCGCTGAAAGTCAAATTCAAAGAAATGCGAACCAACGTTAAAAAGATGATTAGTATTAGCCGAGCAAATTTCTTTGACTCCCTTGAAGATAACTTTCTGTCAAACCCAAAGAGATTCTGGTCGATATTTAAACTTAGCAGCAAAAAGTCTAGAATTCCTGAAACCATGTCACTTGGAAAGGGTGATGGGTACAGTGCTCAGTCCCAAATTCGCTCCGCATCCACCCCTCCTACTATCTCTTTTTAATAGATCATTCAGCTGTGGCGTTTTTCCTGACGACTGGAAGCGTGCGAACATGGTACCTGTGCATAAAAAGGGGGAATAAACGTTATTTTGAGAATTATAGACCCATCTCACTCCTCAGCCTTATATCTAAAGTCCTAGAACGGTGTGTGCTTAGAAATACAAGAGATCACTTACTAGATTTGATCAACTGTTTTCAACACGGCTTCATCCCGGGAATATCATGTACAACCCAACTATTAGCGGTAGACGATTACATTAGGTCCTTGCTGGATGCAAACAGATGTTATATATATGGACATGCCAAAAGCCTTCGATAAAGTAAATAATGAAACTCGACTACTTAATAAGCTAAACAACTGAAAAACCTGTATTGTCAGTCAGGATTGCCACAGTGTTCTATATTAGGCCCTACTTTTCCTCTTCTACGTGAACGACCTTCCAGATGCAGTAAAGAACTGCAAAGTTTCATCTTTCGCAGATGATACTAAAGTATTTAAGTGCATTGACTCCATCTCGGATGCTGGCTCGCTTCAGAGTGACAGAGCACCTTCAACTCCGAGCTTCAAAATTCATCCTTATAAGCTGCCATTCATGTGTACAGAATCATACAAAGACAGACTGATATCTATAAATCTGTTACCAGTCTCTTATTGGCATCTATGTTATCATTTGGGGACAGAATGCATACACGAGGCAGTCGAGCTACAATACATTGCTTCATTTGCTACAGACAGAGGTCGCCTCGGAGGTCGGGGTATGCATTTAAATATATACCTACATTTGCAACAGACAGAGGTCGCGGTATGCATTCAAATATATATATAACTATGTGTATTTGCTACATTTGCTACAGATAATAGTTGGTATACATGACGACTATATATTTGCTACGTTGCTACATTTGCTACAGGTAATAGTTGGTGTGCATGACTATATATGTTTGCTACGTTGCTACATTTTCTACACGTAATAGTTGGTGTGCATGAGTTGCAGTACATAATTATATTTGCTACATTGCTACATTTGCTACAGGTCATAGTTGGCGGCTATACATGTCTGTACTATATTTGCTACGTTGCTACATTTGCTACAGATAATAGTTGGTATACATGACGGCTATATATTTGCTACGTTGCTACATTTGCTACAGGTAATAGTTGGTGTGCATGTCTATATATTTGCTATGTTGCTACATTTGCTACAGATAACAGTTGGTATACATGACGGCTATATATTTGCTACGTTGCTACAATTGCTACAGATAATAGTTGGTATACATGACGGCTATATATTTGCTACGTTGCTACATTTGCTACAGGTAATAGTTGGTGTGCATGTCTATATAAGGCTTACTCTGGGGCGGTAAATCGCCCTAAATCGCCTAAAATCGCCTAAAATCGCCCAAAATCGCATTAAATCGCGGGTCAAAATTGTCAAATTTCTCTTAAATCGCCTAAAATCGCTTTAAATCGCCTAAAATCGCATAATATCATGGGCGTCCTGGGCGGGGGGGTGGGTGAGTGGGTGGGGGTTGGGGGGACGGGGCGACCGCCCCCCCCCAGTTGCTGGCTGGGCGGTCGCCCCCAGGCTTTGTTGGGCAAACAAAGCCAGCCGGGCAATATTCGCTTCACAGTCGTGCAAAATTGGTTTATTATAGAAATAAATGGGACAAATTCTGTCAATTTTGTGGGAAATTCTGTCAATTATGTGGGAAATATGCTATCTAATAGGAATTTTTTGTAATCACTTCTTCCCCCCCCCCCGTCGACAACAATTTTGGATAGTTTCTCCGCCAAATTTTTTTTGACAACGTGTGCATAATCCGAAAAAGTCGGGCAAATTTCTTTCCAACCCCCTAATTTTTTCCTTCCCGTACGCCCATGCTTAAAATCGCATTAACTCGCCAACATGCATTCTGTTTGATACATTCAGTCAATGATGTACTCAAGTTTATCAATTGCTGCTATTTTGCTGGCAAATCATGTATAATCCAGGTGTTTTGCAATCAAAAGTATGCAACATGGATAAATCAAATAAGTGGATTAGGCTGACAATATTTAGTCACTCAATAGGCTCCGGTCATTAATAAAAACAGAGCCTTTTTCTGCTTTATGCAGACTTTACAATAATTAGGCAATTCTGGGATATGAAAGACCCATACATTCCATTACAGTCATTACACTACCAGTCACTGGTTAATTTCATTATTGGTGTAACATGTGGAGGCTGGGCTACAATTTATATGGACTATGGTGGCTGGGCTACAAATTAATCTATAATATACATGGCTTCTCAAAGCCTAATTGCTGTTTAATAGAACAACAGTCTATGATAATGAGAGTCAATGAGTACGAGTATATAATAAGGTCATCCTGCAATTTGTGCACTGTTGCATGTAGATCGAGCACTGCATTGTATACAATGGTTGTACTTCGACATGTGCATGGTTATACTCTTGCTCCTAGTTATAATTATATTGGCTATCAAACGAAAAACATACGTGACTGAGGTTATGAGCGAGATTTGCAAGTTTTGCAACTCTCATCTATTAAATTTTCCAGACCTGTATATAAAATAAACAGTAAAACAATGATTACATCGTACATACCATACAATCTTTGTTGTTGCTTGTTTGCAGAATACTCGATAAATTATCAGGTAAAAGACTTAAAACCACGATGTAGTACGCGGTGTGCCACATTTTGTTTAGTAATTTTTTAAAATAATTTAGAATTCCGACCATTTATATGCGATATACTTCATGTAAATTAAACTTTACGGCATTACGCCGACAGTTTCCGAATGCGTGACAATACTGTTTCAAACAGTTTCTGGATATAGATATCAAACATAATTTTATAAAACATGTTTGTTGAAACAGTTTAAATGAAATGCAAGCTAAATAAAGAAGTGTTGACAAGATACAAAACAAGACAATTTCACTTACAAGGGTGACAAGGTAATTTATAGTAGGTAATTTATAGGAATATAGCTTATTGTAACTGTATAAATACATTGTGCGTTTCTACTCCCTGTGGGCTGTGGTTCTTTTGGAAATCAAATATCTATTATATTTTGCAATTAATAATATTAAAGTTTAGCCTAAGACATGTGTAGTTTAGTTATAGGTTGGCATTTTGCAATTATGTACCGTACATGCCCCTTAAGTAGAGTATATTTATTAACTGTTTACAATATTTGTGGTATATAATGTAGCCATGAATGACCACATGACCCCACAGGATGAACTACAATGGCTTCTAAATAAGACATTCGTTGAAAAGTTCACGAATATTGAGCTTTATATATGATTCGGGTTAAATACAATAATTATTAACCTAGCTTTATATAAAATGTACATACATGTTCTAATAATTGTATTTTGCTTCATACAATGCATATGTGTGTGAAAACATTACATTATTCAGCTCACTCCCCTTTGGGGCTTTTCAGTCACCGCTTACATCAAGTATTAGGATTACTTATGTTAGTCTAGACTATATATCTTTATAACAATGAGCTCGAGAATATGATATCACTTTTCTAACTGTGTTTATTCTAACCCACCCTGCCATATTTTGCCTTGTGGGAAGAAACCAGAGCAAAATATAAAATTCAATTACCTTGAAAACACCTAAATTGCAATCCCTAAAATTTAGAATTTTCTCTTAAATCGCCTAAAATCGCATTATATCGCAGTGCTTGAAAATCCCAGTTTTTCCTTAAATCGCCTAAAATCGCCCAAAATCGCATTATATCACAGCGATTTAGGGCGATTTACCGCCCCAGAGTAGGCCTCACGGACTTAAAGCTGCGCGAATAGGTTTCAACAAGGGGGGCGAAATTAAATCACACAAATTTACAGTAAAGCTGTGCGATAATGAGTACAACGTGACTTTTAATACTCAGAGAATGAATTCTTATTGTGTTAATTTCATTACATGAAAATCATCCTGGCAGACAATCTCGTCCTAGCAAAGCAGGACACGCTCCCATTAAAACCAGGCGGTCGAGTTAAATGCACGAGTAAATCCCCTTGGATCACACCAGAATTAACTGAGTTAATGCGTGAACGAGATTATCATCAAAAACATGCGCATAAGACAAACTCGGAATACCATTGGCAACAATTTCGCGAACTAAGAAATCAAGTTAACAGTCAAATCAAGCTCGCTAAATCCAAGTATTACCAATATTCTGTGAACGCTATTAAGGATAATCCTTCCGACCTTTGGAAAACATTGAATAATCTAACATCTCGCAATAAATCTGGAAGAAACCCGACATGTATAATCTCTGAGGAAAAGCCAGTCACTGATCAAAAGTCCATAGCAACAATTTTAAATGAATATTTCACGTCCATTGGGACAAAACTAGCAGATAAAATCAAGAGTACATTTCAACCCAAACAATCTCCACCAGCCACTGATCTTCCCTACAGCTTTGCGTTCGAAGAAGTAGACGAATCATTTGTCCTCCGTGAACTTTCATTTCTGAAAACTAAAAAAGCCACCGGCCTCGATCAGATCAGTGCTAAAATATTAAAAGATTCAGCCCCTACAATTGCATCTAGTTTAACGAAGATTTCCAATGCCTCGCTCCTCTCACAAACATTTCCAGATATTTGGAAAAAAAGGAAAAATTATTCCCCTCTTCAAAGCCAACGACCCAACAGCACCTAACAACTACCGACCTATCACTATCAGTTTACCTATCCTAAGTAAAATCATGGAGCGCATAGTTCACAGGCAAGTCTACAAGTATCTACGGGAGCATAATCTTACCACTTCGGAACAGTTTGGTTTTCGCTCGAATTTATCTACAAATGTTGCATTAACGCGAGTTACTGAGGAAATTCTACCTAATATCGACAACAAATTAGCTACCGGTGCTGTTTTTATTGACTTACGAAAAGCCTTCGACACAGTTGATCACACCCTACTAATTGCTAAATTAAAAAATACTGGATTTTCAGCACCTGTTATAAACTGGTTCACATCTTATTTATCTTCACGTACAGTCATGACATCGATCAACAACATCACGTCAACTCCAAAACCAGTAACCGTAGGCGTGCCGCAAGGAAGTATCCTAGGACCCCTACTGTTCCTAATATTCATTAATGACTTACCTCAATGTTTGAAACACTGCAAATCTATTCTGTATGCTGATGACACTCTGCTATACTACTCTGCGAGGACAGAAAACGAACTACAAGATATAGTCCAGCTGTTAACGACCACAATTGTTCACTTTGATGATAAAAGCATGAAACTTTGCCACATTACTAACATCCCTAGTACTAACATTTTTGGATAT